TAATTTTTTTTTTTAATTATTAAAAAGCTTTTTTTCTTTCTTTGAATGTACCACATACAAAATATAGATTTTAACTGGTTCTTATTACATTCTTTGTCGCTCTTCTATTTTCATTGTCGTGTAACATTTACTATTTTTTTAACTTAAAAACGGTTGAAATATATAATGTCGTATAATAATTATAATTACTATTATAACTTTGTTATCTTTACTTCTTCTTAGTACATTTGTCATCCTAGCTATCATTTGATAAATCAATTCAGTTGATCAGTAGTTGTGGATTGGATAATTATATTTTAAAGGATTATTTATTGAAAGGCAAATTCAAAATTTATTTGTCAAAAAGAGCATGAAGTTTTTTTTTTATAACACAGAGCCTATAATTCAACATTTCGCAATTTTTGTATGTTGCGGACAGTAGAAAGTAACAGATTTTTAGCAGCGAAACTCTGATTCCGCTGCATAAATATTTTACTATTAAAGTTTTATTTATCCTTTACCATCATTTGTATAAAATTATTTTACAATTTGCGAAGCAAAATCGTTTGTGTTCGTAGAAAAAATGTTCTGTCAATCTTAACCAACAATGCTATTTTAACAAATTTTTTTTACTACTTACAGAAAAGTCCTTCGCAATGTTTATTTCACTTAGCACAGCATTTTCATTATGGATAAAACCATAAAATTATTTTTACTTATTATTTCTTATTTTTATTATAGATCTATATAATTGTAGCATTATCTTTCTCATAATTATTTTGTTCACTTCTCTAATCGCATTCGTATTTCACTTGTTCAATATACGATCGAGAATAATTTTCAAGTCTTGAATACTTATTTGTAGAAAAACGGATATTTGTTAATTAACAGATTTTATTTATTATGTATAGAAAGTTAAATCGAGCACATCATTTTTCCAACGAAAGTAAAAGCTTGGACATAAACACAGACATATGGACGTAATCGTCTGTATTTATGTATATTTGTTTAACTATGTGTGTGTTTTTTGTGTGTGTGTGTGTGTGTGTGTGTGTGTGTGTGTGTGTGTGTGTAGGGTATGTGTGAATGTACGGATGTTTATGGACGTTCAATTTGTATATAATAATGTGGAACGTCATAAGATATTTGAAATTGTCACACACGTTAAGTAAATTTCTCGATTAAATAAGAATGAGCTATGTCGATAATAGGTTTCTTCCGTAATTTTTGCTTTATTTTATACAATTCTCGACTGCTTAGTCTCTAAATCGATATTTTATATATATATATATATATATATATATATTTCTTTTTTTTTTCTTTCAATCATTCCATAGTAAATTTTTATACTAATTTATAAAATAGTTTTTTGAACATTAATTTTTATTATAAATTTACAAATTATTTATGTAACTAGAGCTCCAAACAAGCTTGTGCTAATCTTAGAATAATAATCAATTATCAAATTAATAATAAATTATATTTTTAATAGAAAATTATATAATCCTTTAATAGGTTTAATACTTCAATTTAATATTTAACAATTATTATACAAAAATAGGTAGACTGAAAGACCTAGACTACGAATGACTAGAGAAAATTACAAGAGATATTTCATGGAACAAAATGTAATCATATAACATAGAGAGATAAATTTGTCGAATAGATTTACCTGATTGATAACTGCTCTTTTGAAGACACTAATTGTAAGTAGAGCTTATAAAAATGGGAATCACAGTATTCGCATGCGCGTATTAAAGTTCCTCTCAAGCACATGTTTAAGTTCGTTATTAGCTATGTATACGCCTCGTACTAATTTAGTTCATTTTGCATGAATACAAATGCCGACATCTAAGTAACACATAGCACGAGTGGTAAAATTACCATATCATTCGATTCTTATGTTCTCAAATTTTCAACAAGGTACAGTGCATACTTATTCGTACTCGAGATATTTTACTCATTAGTTGTAACAGAAGTGCGCACACGGTGCAATGGACGAACATTTATTTTGGCGCGTGGATAAACAGTGAATATAGAGTCGCGAGAAGTGGATGCTTTAGTGAAATTTTCTCCAATGATCATTAGGATTTGAGCGAAAACGATTCTTTATTTTCTTCAAAATTTATTACCGTGCAAAGTGCAAAGCAGTTAAATTGAAATCTAATATTATTCAATCATTTATAATGATGACTCTCGTGTGAAGATTTATGAAAGGTTTGTTGTAGTTTAATTATTTAAAAAATAGTATTCAATACCAATAACTTTTGTTTCATTACAAAATAAACAAATAGATAAATAAAGTTTTTGTTTTACTAGTTTAGAGAAATTATTTTTTTTTCTATTAATAAGAAGAAAGCTCTAAGCATTTTTTTTTTATGTCAGGATATATAAAGGAATGCCATATATATATATATATATATATATATATTTAAACTCTTTTACTTTTACGTCGTTAATTCATATATTTTTAGTGAAATAGTTGTCCAGAGAGTTTTATTATTTTCCATTGCGATTGCATTCGAAATCTTTCATAATTTATTGTATTGTCTTCATCTTTTTTACTTGGATTCTGCAAATCACGACGAGGGATTCATTAAAAAATGATCACTAATCCATACAAATATTAAGAAAAAACAAAAAACAAAAAAGAAAAAATTATGCTCGCTAGTTATAGTTTAATGTAAAAAAATTTGGATTTTTATATTCTTTTCATCTCGATACCAAATTTCATTGAGTCTTATAATAAATATGAGTAAATACCAAAGCGCAGATAAAAAAGCGAGAACTCGTGTAGAAACTAACAACAGGAATTTATCTGAAAATCTTATTTCTAAATGAAGTTTTAACATTCCATGTTCTAACGTAGTTTTTTACTGTAAAAGATTTTCTATTCAAATAAATAATATATTTTTCGCATAAGATAGATCCATTTCATAAAACTAATTATTTTCTTTCAAAGAAAAGTACTTAAATTCTTGTAATTTTGTTTTATCGTACATTCATTATATATTATAAATTCATTGTCCTACCCAACTTCAATAATTCTGAAGTTATAGGGCTCCGAGTTATAACTCTGCAATGAATTTCAATTGAGTATTTCACAATTTAATTACATCGTATTTTTCAATAAATTATATCTCAATATTATTATAAACTCTTTTCCTAGCTAAATTCTAAAAGTTGTACTAGCTTAAAAACTTTACAATCTTACGAAATATTACAATACGAAAATTATATTCGTATTTGTATCTTTTGCCTATCGTAAGTATATATATATTTTTATATCGAATATGGATACAGAGGGAGTACACAGTAATCGTCGATTTCAGTTAATTAATTAGCGTAAAATTGTTCTTTAAACTTGATTACAGATGATTTAAGGAAATTACGGTTTTCTTCAAGTGTTAAAATTCAAAATATTACAGTGAGTAATTGCGCAAGAAGAAAATATATTATAAGCTGCTATGCAGTTTGTCTTGAAAGTAAAAATGCATGTTAAAATTTTTTGAATTATTTGTAATGATGATTAGGCATATAAATAACTAAGGAAAATTTTCATGAAATACCCAATTATCTCTATAACTGTATTCTGTATACTTAATTCCTTTTATAAAGGAAAGGCAAATCTACTGCAAATTCTTGCGTGATAAATTCTCTCCTGATTATAATAATAGCCCTATATAAGGTTAGGATAGAATTTTATACAAAATCTATATAAATTCTATACTATTGTATATTTACACGGAAACTTGATTTGGAAAAAAAAAGAGAAACCTAATGGAAATATATGAGCATAAATACCAATGACTTGCTTAAATTATCTCATTAATTTCACTGGTAGAAAGGACATTCTTCTTTTGTACGTGAATTGCATTGAATTTTATAAATTTTATAATTCATTGTTTTATTCAAATACCCTTCGTTTCTTATTTCTCTAGCTTATATAAAAATTTATTATCATTATTACATAGTTTTTAGAAGATATGACATCCTTCATCCGCGAATGCATATCTAAACTATCATTCAGAAACGTCATCCGAATGTACTTAATATTACTATTTAAAGAAACTGATATTTGCAGCAATTTTCACATAAAACAAATCATTATACTAAATTTATGTCCATTAATTTATTCATTAGTAACATCATATACTCAGAGAGAAAATATCAGTTGTAAAATATTTAATATATAATAATTGAAAAGTAATGTGTAATCTGACGAGGATAATAAATACCGAATCATAATACTGTTGAAGATTATCACGAAAAAATATATTTTACAATGTAAAGGCCTTAATAATTTCATCTTATAGACAAATAAATAAATACGACATACACAATGTAATAAAAAGAATAATTGAGTATAGAGTATTTAATTAACAAGCCGTATATTTAATTTAATATATCTGCAGTATAAGTAAAGAATTTTATTATGACAAATATGCAGCCGATAATGATAATGTTACATTACATTTAATTACAAGAAATTTCATTTTATTCTGATATTAGCAAAGACCAAGTTGTAACCAATTTCCGTTCTTTAAAAAATTCAGGTAAATTCTTTGCCATTTTTAATTTAAGATAATGCTTGCAAACTCAAAGTAATTCAATATTCCATATTATGGAATGTCGTGTACCTAAAATATTAAAAAGCTTGATTTTGTACGCTTGATGCGAATTTTCTTGTACAATGAGTGGATCGGTATCGCGCAATTTTCCAATCTCATAATTTAGTTAATCAAGCTTCGCCCGAAATTGTCCTCGACGATAAAAGCGAACACGATTTTATTTTCAATCACAGTTTCATTTGCACTCTCAAAATTCATATGATCTTAATAAGTTTTGCCTCGGGATAGACAAGCATCACGCAGCAATGGAGCAATTTGGGCGATAAGTCAAAATCACGCTATCAGGCATATAATATCAGGCAATCCTTTCTCTCTCTCTCTCTCTCTCTCTCTCTCTCTCTGTCTATCTATCTATCTATCTATCTATCTATCTATCTATCTATCTGAGTGTACGACGATCGTTAGTAGACGCTATTGGGGAGCGCCCAAGAATTTGCAGCAGTCGATCGCAATGTACGCGTAAAGAGACTAATGAAAGCAGCGATGAAGCGTCCGCTTACACTTGCAGTGGCATTCGAACGAGAACGAGGGGAATGGGGTGAGCGGGTGACATCGGGGCCTCAGTGGGGCCGGAGATTTGCAATCTTGTTGTTGCAGTTGTAGCCGGTACCGGGACCGGAGCTCCCGCAATAGTCGTAGTCGTAGACACGCCCTGACGAATCGTAATGGTGCGTTTGCTTTGGCGTTAAACGGTGCTGCTGTTCCCTGTAACGTCAATGATTTTATCAGTATGCGTTCGTTGGTGTATGTTGGTAGGATTTGGTAAATGCTTGGATGTAACTAATCGTTGTATAAAACCTTATCCTCGACTGTAATGACGATGGAGTTGTGCCACCAAGGCAATAACCGAGTTAAATTTATACTCTTCATAATTTTGCCTTTAAATAAACGGAATACTTATTATTTATATTAAAACTCTGCGTTTTTGTTTCCTGTGTGCGTAAGTACGCGTACATGTACATACATGTATTTGAAATTGCTAATATAGTCTAGGAAAAGGAAATGTACCTAATCGATGCCAACCTATTGGCATATCGACATTACTATACATGTACACTTATATGCGCATGCATAAGTACTAAACTTATAAAATACTTTAGTTATTGATTATTTTCACACCCAATACTTTTCTATGATTTCCTTTGATTTCAATTACGGTCGTATTAATGATAATTTTTAAATTATTCAGCTTCAACGATATATCTCAATATCTTTGATTATGTAATGATGCGCCATTATGTTTATTAAAAACTTTATTAATTCTACAATTTCTACAAATTTTAATCAACAATTCAATAAGTAACGACAATTTAAAAACTCTGTAATGAAAAATAATAAAAGTAACGAGTAAAATCATATATTATTCGAAGAAAAAAATAATTAAAATAATAATAGCAATCGGATGCATTTATATTTGAATGTATCGAGTAACGATATATGAAATGTATTCCGAAATTGTAGTCAAATATGTGAAATATATATATATATCATAATCATAAAATACCTATCACTAATAAATAATTCACAAGTCTAAATATCCAATACGGAGATCAAACGCATAAAAGTCGTCCAACCCAAGAGGAATATAAATGGTGAATATGATATGTCTTTATTAATTTTTAATCTCGCGCTATTCAACAAATCAGCAATCCAACACCAATCCCCGCCCCCTCTCCCCATCCCCATCAATATACACAGTCGTCGATTAATCCATTTAATGTCAGAGAGTAGTAATGGTTAATGAATCTTTCGGTTTTTCAGGAATCTCCAAATTTTGGTCCCCAAAGTAGTCCAAAGAAGAGCCATCCGATGGAGATGTTGCGATCGAGGCGCATCTAAGTGACGACCGGGGGCCCGAGGCTGATACTGGCCCATTCCTCCCATCGAGACTCGCGTCCCAGTTCATGGGAATAAGGTTTGTCAATGAAATCTGCCAAGCATAAACCTCGGGGAAATAATACGTGTGTTTCGAACCCGTGCTGATCTGCGAACTCGACCGAAGCCGGCAGTCGCCGGGGTCAGGCGAGCTCGTTACTGTCCGGGAAGTAGTCGCGGACGTCAAGGCAGTTGGCGAGATCGAGGACAATGTGGTGGAGCGAGAGGTGCTCCAGGAGCTCGGCCTCCGGTAGCGGCGGGTGACATCGTGGCCTCTGCTGTCGGCCGCGGAACGAACGATGTAGATGGAGCACCACGTCGCAGAACACGTAGCGCAGCAGGAGGAGCCGTAAGAAGTCGTCGCCGAAGAACTGGAGGACGCTCAGTTCTGTTTGGGCAGGTAAAGAAGGTTTTTGTTTACGCATTATCTTGGCTTTAGGATGAGATTAGAAATATTAGGGATTCGATTAATCATTATTCTCATCGATTAATATGCTCGGGCTACATCTTCATTTGCAGCCTAATAAATTTACGTCAACATATAAATGTAGTTTCATCTTAATTTACTTTTATGGCATATATATATATATATATATATATATATATCTTTTCTTCTCTACGTACAATATAATGACGTAATATTAGTCTGCAGTGATACAAATTAATTTCTACTATGAATTTATAATTGTAAGAATTTTTAGAACAGATTATTAGTCATTTGGAGGTCGAATTATTGATATTGTTGGATTCTCGTTGCCTCATTAAATATCCTTACTTTTTATATATAATTATAAACGACATTTATTTAAATATCTTCATTAATATCACAATGTTTAATCGTAGGTATGAATTATAATGTGTATGAATTATTTGAATATTTCACAACTACATGTAACGATATTTTAACAATGCTTTCTAATTATAGAATTTTCTTTTAATTGATATGTGTGCGCGCGCGCGTGTGTGTTGAAATAATAAAGAACAATTTGGTTTTACATACGGAATAAAATTTATCGCACTCTCGTCATAAGTGATGAAATTATTAGCAAAAAAAAAAAAAATATCTCAAGCCGTTAAAATTTAATTATTAATGATTTTTTGATTGTTCAATATTATGAAAATAATTCCGATAAAGTGCCATTGAATTCTACGCGAGTATGAAGTTTATTTCATTAATTGGCGAGGGTGTGGTATTAATGTTCGAAGGCATGAATAAAGACTATTTATTTACTGTTTTCTCCCACTAAATGAAAAGAGGCTATTCGAGACAATGGATTGGAGATAGAGAAATATTGGCCGAGTAGATACGAGTAAATAAGCTCGTGGATGAAAAAATCGAAGAGCCGCCTTTGCTTATGCATACACGTAAACGTACCGTAGCTTGGCTCGTTTGAAAAATCCCTTTCGATAGACTCGGAGAAACGAAAACAGCTTACTATACTACCTACCTATGCACGTACGTGTGCCTGTAGGCGTGAAATGCTCGACCGGGCAATATTCGTTCAAAGCCTCCGCTTTAAGAAACAAATCAATAAATAGCGTAGGTATGCATAGCCGATAAGCAGCGAACCGCACGTGTAGCACCGAGGCGCACATTCAAATTCGGCGTTCGATCGGCCGTTGTATAGACTGAGGCGCGCTCACGGCTAAAACAATGTGTTCATTCCGACATTTTTCTCCCATTTCTGACAATTGGAGCGGCCCTAAGCTTTTGTGATGAATTAATTAATACTTCCAATGTATACGATATAAATACCTTCCCGCCCACGTTGCGATAACGTACATATTTGAGTCGAGTTTTTATATTGCGCACCCAACACTTTGCTAAATAATATAAGCGACGTTTGGACAAAGATGTAAGCTATTTATAGCTGCTAATCGATAATATTAGCGTTGGTTATTTTTATGTTTTACAATTTTCGACTGCGGCAATAAGTCTTTGAATTTTAATTTTGCCCTTTGCGTTATATTACAGCAGCTTTTCGCGATATTCCCAATTGCTTGTACAGGAATTGTAAACTTAAACAAACACTCGCACATGCATAGCGAATTCTACATATATATATATATATATAAATGGATTGATTTTTAAATTAATTACAATAATATCGATGACATTCAAATTTCCATTTAAGTTTAGTATTTACTTATTTTACCCGGGGCTTTACGTATTTTAGTAAAAAAAATTGCATTGCGGAATATTGCGGTGTCAGCGCTTGAGCCATCTGCCATAATATTTCGATGCACATCGTTTTACACACGAAATCCGTACTTTAAAATGATAAGCTTAAATCTATAAGGCATGTATTTTATCCTCATAATTTTCCAAAATAGATAAAAGTTATTTTTAGATATTTCAAGAAATTTCATCTCAATTACAGCCTATTGCGCGTACGTGGAGAAAGTTAAAATGTTCAAATTACGTTGGAAAATTTTTGTTAAAAAATAAAGCAAAATTCTTATGAAATATATCGATAGCTATTTAATATTTAAAATCGTTGTACATCACGGTATTACATTACGTCTATATAATGTTTTCTAAAATCATGATAATGCATTGAAAGATTATTAAAAAAAAAAAAAAAAAAAAAATTTACAACATTAATAGCAGATTAATTTTCACATAAATTTATTTAATTTTTTCAATAAAATATCATTTATATAGATTATATTTATTATGATTTTACGTTATAATTAAAATGTACTGCATTATAATAATAGAGGAGATTTGTGATTATATTATAAAAAGAGAGGAGATGTGTGTATATATATATATATATATATATATATATATATATATATATATATATATATATATATCTTATAGATTTAAGCTTGTTTTTCCAAAATTATTCAGAATTTTAACCAAAGACTTAAAATTTTTTTTTAAATGTATATATATATATTAAAATAACATACTTTGACAATTAGTTAATTTTTTTCACTTTTATAAGCAGTATGTTTTATAAATTATACCTTTTCTCTATTTTTTCCGCTCTTTCAGGCAAATGTAAGAAGTAATTTTAATGAATCCTTGAATTTTGAACGTAATTAATGAATCCATGATATATTTCAGATTTCCTTGGTAATTTATAAAGATAGCGATACGAAATTTTTATTTGCAATTACGATAATTTTTAATAAAAAGTTAAATATTTAATAATTGTTTACATGTAGTGCTAAGAAATTGTTTGTACTTTGAACGAATATGAAGCTTGCGTGAGTTTTTAAAACCATCCATAGTAAATATTTACCAGCACAATACAGTTATCGATCAAATAAGAAGCTTCGTAAAAATATATATTAGAGAAACACATTTACTAGAATAATTCAAAGAAATATCAATAATAGTGTTCGCTCCATTATTTAATCCATACCTTACCGCTGTCCTTATTGTATTTACCAAATAAAGAAATAATTGAAGTGACGTTACTCTCGACCAACCGCCGGCTTAGTCCATAAAACACCAAGCAATATAAAGCAATTTGTTGTAAAAAATTGAAATTAAGATAAAATGTAGAATTAAAATTCAAAGTTTTCGTGTCGCGTGTCCTTATTCGCGTATCACGATAAACACGTTTAGGTCAGGATAGTAAAATGTGAAATTCCAACAGCAACAACAAAAAAAAAAAAAAAAAAAAAAAAAAAAAAAAAAAGAACAGTAAAGCAAAGAAAAGAAAGGAAAAAAAGTAAATACACTTGGGATTATATAGGGAAGCTTGGTACTGTATTTCCATATTACTACCCCTCCGACGTAATGCATTAAATCCATTCGCATGATTAAGTTTCAGCGCGAGCAAGATAAAATGCGGTAAAATCCGCATTTACTATTCCTTGTTAAAAGCCGAGTTGGTGAGGGAGGGAGAGAGGGAGAGGGTGGGGGGGGGGGGGGAGAGAGGCGTGTACGAGACCACGTGTGTAGTACCGTAACGGCAGTGGCAGGATAAATGCGATCGCCGATAAAATCGAGTTTGAAGTTATTACCGCATCGTGATCTGAGGACAAGTTGGCTGGCCTCGATGAGGAACTGCTCGACGTAGCGCTCGCATCGCTCCCAGTGCTGAATCGGCAGGCTGGCCACGTTGCATATAAGGCAGAAGGCGGCTAACGGCGAGTGGAGAAAGAGGGTGAAGAGGCCGCCCTCGTTTCTCAGCTCCCTGAGGCCGGCGGGCGTGTCCTGGGGCGACATTAGAACCATCAGTGGCTGGCCGAAATAGCGCGGTATCTGCTGGAACACGAAGCTGTTGTCCGAGTCGACGACCACGAAGAAGGGCTTGCGCGTAAACGGGTAGAGGTCCCCCGGGTAGAGACACTCCGGCTCCTTATCGCCCTGGAGCCGCTGCTTGCCGTGCTCGAGTTTCGAGGAGGTCGAGACGCCCCCGAGGTCGTAGCCCACTGAAACGGATTAGGGGTGCATCAGTGCGCACCGCTTTCTATGGACTTGCATTGCGCGTCGCTCAAACCCTTTCATTATTGTACCTCTCTTTTTACGAACCTGCCAACCCTCCTACCTCTATGCTTATATCCTTAATTAGCCGCCTACGCATTCTTGAGTTAAATGAATAATGTGCTGGTAAAAACAAAAGTAAATGAATAAATGACGAAAGAAAGATAAACGCTTGTAGTTTTAGTATTGTCCACCTTATTTTATTTTCCGTATTATTCTCAATTTTCAAGAGTACAAATCTTCGGATTTCGCACTTCAAAGGTCCGCCATATTCTTTGCAATTATTATAATCAGAGAACTTTCAAGAAAAGATTCGTTTTTGCTATTTTACTTTCTTGACGTGAGATACTTTGGCTGGGTGGCAAAAATCGATGAAAAATTATTCACTGCTTGCTGTCGTTAGAATATTACCGATAATGAGCAAACGCATTGAACGAGAATACAAGCTTTTGATGTTACATTACATTGACATTATGTATAGTTATTAATACTGAATTTTTATGAGTTCACCCGAAATTTCTCTATAATAAATAAATTTCTTCTCATTTAATTACTTATAAACACTATATGTTATAGTGCGTTCAATTGTATAAATTTTTATTATATATAAGTATGAAGAACACGACGCGTATTCACAATAATTAAATGCAACTTTTACATTCTTTTAATTAAAACTTTAAAAACATTTTAAACATCTTTACGCATATAATCAATAGAATAAATAAAATTCTATTTAAATTCTTATTACAAAACATTTATAAAGTTTTTTCTCTTTCTATTCGACATGTATATTCATAATATCACTTTTTTCACAATGAAATAAAAAATTTTTAACTTCAATTATGTGTATAATAGCAAACGAATTAACTTGAAATATCATTTACGTTATAATAATTTAAGATAAAATGTTACTCATAATCAGCATATCCTTTTTTACAATATATATATATATATATATATATATATATATATATATATATATATAAATTCATACAAAATAATAAAAAGATATGGATAAATTAAAATTTAATGTCTCATTTTACTGTGTAAGCAAGCATATATTCTTCTCATTCGTATGATTAAAGCATAATTCTAGCTATGACATTAATACAATTTATAATGGACTATACGAAGAGAAAAAATTATGTTTTTTTCCTAAATGGCATAATATATAGTATCTATGAAACTAAAAATTTAAAAACCGTAAGTAATGTAATAACTGCACTTAGGATAATTCAATGAAAATTTATTAATTATACTTAATGAATTATTAACGTTTTGAAGTGAAAACGAGGTTTTTATTTAATTTGTATTTATTTAATACAAATTCATCAATCATATTCAATGTAAAGAATAAAATTTATAATAATTCTAATTTATTGAAAAAAAAATTTTACTATTAATAGATTTATAATCCAAACTACTTAATATTACCATTTATTATCTTAGACTTATGGTGTCTAAGAATTTTTAGAAGCTGATTAAAACATATTTCAGAAATTGTTAAATACAATCAATTTTATAAAAGCATATATAACTAATTACTCGTTGAATGCATTACCGTAGGTACAAGCAGTTAATTAATTAACTAATCATCAAATACATTATAATCTATTACATTATATAAATAATATTTTATACATAATAAATAAAACATTATATATTAAATGTTAATTTTTATATTTCTAAATGTGAACAGATATTCTTGAAAAGAATATATGCTTCGAATGAGTTTCATCGACTGAATTCGTATTTGCTGGACTCATACGAGTTACGTGGCATATCATGCATACAAATTTAAATTCATATTATAAAATTAATGTGAATTAATTTCATTTATTATTTTTAATTTAAGTAATATGCAAAGGCTATCAATTATATAATATAGAATCTTATATGATATGATTTTTTTGTTCTAAAATAACAGTACACGAAGCTCAGAATATTTGTATATCAAGACATAACCAGTTAAAGTTATATTATTTTTTAATTTCAAGAATATAGCATTGATAATATAATTATATCGATTACTTAATTTATATTATATTGCTAATAAATTTACTATTTTAAAAAAACTTTAAATAAATTCAAATGCTACTCGAATATTATAAGTAGTAATTATTTTCACATAAGAATTAAATAATACATCAGCATAGAAATAATGTGCTATTGAACTTATTTAAGTGGATTGGTATTTTATATAAATAAATTATCTATTACAATGTCTCAGAAATTCAGAATATTTTGAAAATTGATATAATTACGTGTATTAAAAACGTAAATAAATTTCTAAATGTAAATAAATACATTTATTATTTATCATGATTTTTTTATTGTAATTTTAAAAGTAATCAAAGACAATTACAATTATAATTATTATGATTTTATGTATATTGAAGAACAATTAGACTGTATTTTGACGTACTTTATATTGATTTTCGTCTATCAAATTATTTAATACGAATGAAAACATCAAAGTTAAAAATTATTCGTAATAAAAAAATGAATATAAACTGTTTAATTAATCTTTATTCTCTCATATATATTCACAATTGTAATGTTTAATTATTTATACGAAAGTTGTCATTATTTTATATTTTGAAATAATTTCATCGTACTTTAATCGTAACAATCTTATGATGTATAAGTACTTAATGATTTTCTCAAAAATATGTAACATAAAATAGTGAAAGATAATATTTTAAATTAAAATTATTTCATAATGTATTCGTAAAGTACGTTAAATACGTTCTAAAAATGTTTCAACTTTCAAATGTCTACTAATAGTTTTAACCTACTCTTTCTAACACGTGACTTAATTATTTCTTATATTAAGCTGATTAATTTGTGTTAAAATTTTTCTCATTTTTTTCTTAATATATAACTACTTATTTCTATAATATATTTAGGATGAATTGAATATATTAGTCGATGATTTAATTTAAAAATATTTCACGTAATATAATCTGAATAATCATCGGAATGAAGCTTCGCGTTATTGGTAAAATTATCACTTGCGAAGAAATCGCAATAATAAGATATTTACAATAAAAATTTTATATCATTCATTTGTAAGGGAAAATACATCTAATAGAAAGAAACATTCATAAATATAATCATAATTCAGATAAGATATTGATCGGCAGCATCTTTTTTTACTATTACTCAACACAAGTCTTTAAAATTAAGAAATATAATATTTTCTTCAACAACTTCGATATTACGAAATCGAAAACTCTACGATTTTAAGCGGATATTAAAATAAAATATGAACAAATCACGAAAGCTGTATTGTATTTAAACGCTGCAAAGTAGATATGTAATCTGCAAAGTTCCTAAACTCTGCAACTTATAATCCTGATCCTTTGGAGTACAGCCTATCTCTTATGTCGATAGGAAAGTTTGTAAAATCATGTCAAGAGGAGGTGCGAAAAAAAGGAGAACAAGAGAAAAATGGAATGCTCGGCTCACCGTAAATCATTGTAAAAGGTTTGGTCGGCATTCAAGCGAGTAAAGAACGAAGCCCTTTTATAAATATGATAAATGCGATAAACAATGCGCGTACACTTGCATGTCCTAATACGTTCGTATATGCCAGCCTTGACAGACGTTGGTAATTACGTGATCAGCGAGACCGATAAACAATGATATTAGTACGGGTGAATTAGAGAAGACGCTCAAACTGATTCCATGGCCATATGTTTGTGCGTTGACATAGTAAGTGCATGCCGCGATTACCAGTGATCTCATAAATTCTAAAACGAACATATCCTAGTTATTGACAAGAACATACAAAGACAATTACAATCGTGCTTATTGAAACGTTAGCCAAGTTATTTAGATTTCGCAGTAGTATTATTGACATCTATTGTCTATCGTATTAAAATACATTATGACTGTGTGCTACTTATTTTTATGAAATTATAATAAATTCTACAGTGCGTTAGAGTAATGAACTTACTTTGATTTGCAAAATATTAAGGATGATGGAATATACGTGAGCACGTTAACTAACTTACTCCATAATTAAATTTCTTTGCTCAATCATTACTGCAATATATATTATTCCTATGCGTCTAATACAAATGATTCGCTCGCATATTCGTATATCACAATTGTCCATTCATTCCCGAACCATTAAATCGTACTATAGATTGAAAATTCGCAAATTTGTCATTATTATATTTAATATCAATTTGTAAAATATCAATACAGAGAGAATATATGCTGATTCGAAAGCTCAGTATGTAATCACTTGAAGAAAACTGAAAAGAACATAACGTAATGAGAATAAATGCTTGGCACTCGATATCGGAAGAATGACAAAATAGGTCAAAAGTTTTAGTCGTATATTTTAATTGTCAACTCATAATTTGGAAAAACCCTTGTACCAAAGATTTAGCTAATAATTCTTAAATAGAACATATACGTTTCAAATGCAGATACAAAATATTATTAAGCATTTGAAGTATTAAAAAAACTATATATATATATATATATATATATATATATATATAATAATTTGATTCATTGATATCTGGAAGGAATATGCATTTATATTTATTAATATATGTAGGTAATGTGTATTAAGTAATAAATTTATAAATAAATAAATGGACATGAAAATACAGTTATACAAGTTCTAAATTTGTATCCCCACCTAAGAAGTATCTAAAAATAATAAAAAATTTTACGAAATATTATATTATCATATCTAAACACCCAATACCATTCTAAAACTATATAATTCTCTGAAATATGCAAACGTTTGCAAAGTTAATAAAATGGCATTGAAATTACCTTAAACTTTTCTTATTTTTATGCATTTGTTCACTCTCGTAATGATTAAATTCAATAAAAGAGAAAGATTATTTAATTTTAAAATTATCCGGGAATGTTAATAATATATGTATAAATTGATGCAATGAACATTTTTATATAATTATATTATATTAAATGCGAGAAAAGTGTAGGTATTTTAAGGAATAATCATTATTATTTGGCGATAAATAACTTTTTATCCCTAAATATGCCATTAGCTATAAAATGAATTTCAATATATTTCGAATATTTTTAAATTCCATTAATTTGTATTTCAAAATATTCAAAATTATTAATACGAAATACATATATATAGATGTCGACTTTTTAAATTATTATTTAGCGACTATAGTTTAATCCCTTAAGCATAATTATACTCTATTATATAAGCAGCCTTTATGAAATTAAAACGAAGTTAAAGAACATGCCAACAAAATTTCTGTTCCATTAAATAAATATACAGAAAAATATTTTCTACGTATCAGAAAATTGTGGACGATTCTTCAAAACTAATTTACTACGTGCAATTTTGTCACGAATAAATTTAGAAATAGACGAGAGAGCAGTTCATGCATGTATATTTCTTTATTCGTAATCTGTAGAAACTACTTTAATTTGTTATTTGGTAATAGTTGAAAAAAAAAACAAAATAAACAAAAAAAACAAAACAAAACAAAACAAAACAAAACAAAAACAGAACGAAAAAATGAATAAAAGTTCCCGTATAAACATTATAATAATAAAGATTCCCTAAAAAATTTATGCCAAATATCAAAATAAAATAATGAATCATTGATATGTAAGAAAAGTGACTTTTCACAAGAACTATCGTCTTATCAATATGCCAGCATTATAAATTTGTATTTCGCATAAAATAGAATATATGAATTGTAATTTTTCTCCAGTGATTAATGATCTCCATTTCAAAATGCGTAAAATAACTGGCAAACTACCATCCAACTCTCTCCCTTCATTTTTGCTCTTTTATTTTCTTTCTCTATGTTTTATTCGTATTTTCTTTTTTTTTTTTTTTTTTTTTATTTATTCCTAAGAAAGGCAAATAGTAAAAAGCTTAGCTCCGAGTCCCAAGAACAAGGCCAAAAGCAACTCATTCCTTGAACGCTTGGAGCGTCCGATTTCGAAAATGAAAATAGAGTGATCTTGCGTATCGCTTAAGCTAACGAGCATTTGGGTCACTCGGCAATGCTACTGCAGCCCTCGGAAATCAAAAGCGCAAAGTAGCTCGCTTACGCTACTTAGTTTGGCAAAGAGAGAGAGAGAGAGAGAGAGGGAGAGAGAGAGAGACGTGGGAAGGCATGCAGTTCGGTCTGAACTCACTTTCCTCGGGCCGTTTGACGGTGGAGAAGCAGCCGTCCGCCGACATGTAGAGTAGCAGTACACCGTTGGGTGGGAGCTCGTTGAAGCCGCTCGAGAGGAAGATCTGCACTTGATTGTACGTCGGATTGAAGAGGATGTACTTGTGAGGATTGTCGCGTCGGGAGGCCCCGTTCTCGGACGGGTAAGGCCCCGGCCTGAACGGCATCCGGTCTCCCGATGAACCGTCGTGCAGGTGGTTCGGGTCGTCCTGGCACTCGCGCTCCAGGGTCTGCAGCATCCTGAACATGTCTATCGACATCTCGCTGAACTTGACCTGAAAGCCACGCAACGTCTGGCTGTGTTTCGTCGATGCGATATGTTGGCTATTTGGTAACAATGGACTACTGTGTACAAACACGCTCAGTGAGAGAAAATCCCTTTACGTAATTGTGGTGGAAAGATGAAGAGGGCAAGAAGTACATTAAAATGCACTCGTGCCTTTCAAAATATTAAGTAAATACAATTATGCAAATAATTATTCGTAACATAATCAAATTGGGGTTGGATGAAGCATGCAGCGTACATTTATTACGTTTACTCTGGATACTTAATTATAAATTATTATTTCACTTATTTACAATTAGTTACAATTATTTCAATGTTTAATATTGATTATGTTGCATTGCGGTTCATATTGGTATTTATTTATTTAACTACAAGTCATACCGATTGATTTTGCATTTGCATTTACAAACAGGAGGCAATTAATTATTGATTATTGTTGAATTGCACATATGAAGTTATTTATTATTCTCGTGTAATAAAATTATTGCTACAATTTAAATAGCAGCGTACGAAAATGTATTAATAATTATCAATATTCATATTTAAAAAAAAAAGAAGAAAGTAATAATAATAATAATGATAATAATAATAATAATAATAATAATAATAATAATAATAATAATAATAATGATGATAATAATAATAATAATAATAATAATAATAATAATAATAAAAGAAAAGATAAAGGAATAGAAAAACTACAATGTAGAAACGATCTTATCTTATCTTGTAATTCCTTGTATTGTTCATTACTATCAATTATTCGTATTATCCAAAGTATATTTATATCTCATATTTGGAAGAAACCAATAAATAAGTTATTGGTAAAGAAAATATGGGCGACGATTGTCTTACATAAATATGTAATAGTAGTTGAAAGTGCTACGTATGCCAACGCAATTACCCAATTTCAGTAGAAACTAGAGTCTACGAATAATTTTAATACAATAATGATGAAAGCTATTTAATGTATCTTAAATCGACAATAATCATACACTGCAATTGTCAATTTATTCTAAGTACATAGAGCCATTAGCATATAAAAATAATTAAGATTTTTCGTCTTAAACGATCGTTACTAGTGCATACGGGGATTTAAAAAAACTTGTTCGTTATCGACTTAAATCGTTGCTCATGGGAAAGTGGAAAGAGGTGTTGTGCAATGCATTTCAATCAATAATTCATAAAAATTGCTCCAATGTCCAAAATTAGAGTTAAGCAGTGTTAAGATTCGATAGGAAAAATGAAAAGAAAAAAAAAAGAAAAAAATTCGAGCGAATCGCTGAAAGATTTGGATTGCGAAAGAGCCGTCATGCATGCTAACTAAACCGGGTCACGCGCACATAATTAAGGAATCTAGAGACGACACCTGCTTGGCGCAATTGCCGACAATGAGGATCTCCTGGAGGGAGAGGCACATGGGTGTCGAACGCTCGACCGGTGGTGAGGTGAGGGGTCCAAGCCTATGGGGCAGAACGACGGGGACGTTGGAGTCAGCTCGCAGGACCGCGACCGCGGAGTCCGCCTTGACGAAGGCCTTGAGCTCGTCGAGCACGTGGGTCCAGTCGACGTGGTCGTCCGGCTCGTACGCGCTATTATAGTCCGCTATCTGGGCCTCCAGGTCTTGCACCAAGTCCCGCACCACGTTCATCTTGTTGAGGAGCAGGCAGACGACGATGAAACGGGCGTAGTACCTGCGCAATGGATTTGCATTCGTGCCATTTTCCATCAGCTCGTGGTTCGATAGCAAACGACACCAATGGACTTTGTCGTAGTGACGCTCGTCGCTTTTAATTTCACAGTTTTCTTTATTATTATTCGAACGTTCGATGAGAATTTCATTCATACGCTCGATTTTCATTTATATTCTTTATGCGGCACAGAGGGATAAAGGAGGCCTTTCATTATCTTATGTAAATAAGTTTTGAGCATGCGTATCGTTTACGCAAATTTTTTTACACTCACTAAATTCCAATGCAATTATTTTATCTAATATTGATTAATTATTGGCATCACGAATTGAAAATAAAAAAATTATTAAAGCTATTTGAGTGAATTCTTATAAACCATTGATTCGTTTCACGCTCGAAAACATTGTAATTGCCATGAACATTTAGAGCGATTATTATTCTCCGTTAAATTTGTAAATGAAATTTCGATAAAAATAATCAACAACAAAGGTTGGCTTCCTATCAGAGTCCTTGAGAATAATATAAAGGGCCGAGAGTAGTAGAGAGCATAGAAGATAGTTTGTGCAATAATCCCCGATATAATTGTATCGATTATTTTTAGATGATAAGTAATTTTGAATACAAATAATGCTTCTCGCTGGCGTAATTAAACTCTTCATGGATGCATAAAGAAAAAGCTAAATCAGTGTTATAATGGCTCCTACATTAATCAATAAGTGAGATAAAAAATTAGAATAAAACTACTACTATATATAATATAATCGGAATAGATATTAAGGTAAAATGAGAAAAATTCTTTAAACAAGCCACGATTAATATAATACTTGGTTCATAACTAACCTCGTGATAATATTGTATTCCCTACTGTTGCATTTCACTTCATTGCCAGTAAATAAAATTTTAAATTCTCAGATGCTGCAGATTTTTTCCAGGAAAGCATCTTCTTTCATTCTCGGCACGTAAATCCCGTAATAACGACATGATCATACCTGAGCTTCTTCACCATCAAGTCACTCCTGTCCTCCTTGGCGGCCCGACTGTAGTACGCTCTCGTGTGTATCGCCCCGTAGAAAGAATACGCCTCGTGGAGGTAGCTCGTCTCGCTCGTCTTCTGGTAGTACTGATAGTACAGTTGCCCGATTTTACTTGCAATCTCGCCGATCTGCCAGCGCTTTAAGCCGTACTTGTTGTCGAGGATGGCCCTATAAAGCATGGGTTCGCGAATTTTCTCAATCGAGATATTGAAATAGGAAGGAATTGCCGGCAAGAGGCAGCCGGAGTTAGGATCATTTGTCCGAGCTGATTGCCTCTGCGGTTAATCGTTGGCCAAACGTCGATGTATCGGCTAAGGGCTAAATGACCAAATGGCGGGAATATAACCGAGCGAACGAGTTATTATCAGATTGGTGTTACCATTATATTTATTACGTCTCCCATTAAATGCATAAAATTCAAATGGTAGTCTGCTTAAGCGATTTTTTTATATTACCTTTGAATATTCATACCTCCCGACCTTATTTTATAATAGGTCCTACACTGCACTACTTGATGATTTCTAGAAGGAGTCGAGATATGCCAATTCATCACTTGATCCAGCAGCCTACAAGAATCTTGTTTAAAGCTTTTCCCTCCTTATCCGACATTTTTGCCAAGTTTCTCGAGTCAAGGAGACGATGCACTTGAAAATTTAAGCCGAGCATATTCCTCCTCTATACATTTTAGCCATATAATTATGTCAAACGATATTTAATTCTTAAAAAGTGTAAAAGTGAATATTTTATTTATTAATCTAAAAGTATCTGTAATGGTAAATTTTGTTTTATTGACTAGGGATTTTGACGCAATGTATCCAATAGTTTGGAATATGAGTAATTAAAATAAAATTTTCAACGAGTATTTATTAGTTTTATAAATATTTTCTTCTCTAATTGCTATTTCGTCTAAAGTATCGAAACCCTACAACCACAACTATTTATAAATTTTTTATTAAAATATTTCCAAACACACACACACACACACACACACACACACACACATATATATATATATATATATATATATATATACTCTTCCTTGGTAACAATGATTTTTATATAATAAAAAATTCAATTTTAAAAATCATTATTTCAGATATTTGGGCTATCGAAATTTTTTTAAAAAAGTCGCTAATTTCCCGGCATCCAGATATTTCATACCTTACATATTTAAAGTCAAAAGTATTTTAATAATAATCTACTTTGAGCATGGGATCGAATTAAGTATCCATAAACAATGACTCGACAAACTCTTGATAGAGTATCTAACTTCCTTCCTCAATACTTGATGAGAATTTTAAGTGTTTTCTTATTCGAAAAGCGAGTGAGAACAAAAAATTTTCGAAAAACAAGGGCGTAGGGGGGAAAAAGTGTCTCGGTAACATCCATCCAGTGCTTAACTTCCCTCCTCATTTCCGATGGATGAGCGAAGAAAGAAGAAGAAGAAGAAGAAGAAGAAGAAGAAGAAGAAGAAGAAGAAGAAGAGGAAGAGGAAGAGGAAGAAGAAGAAGCAGAAGAAGATGCAGAAAAGGATGAGGAGGAGGAGGACGACGAGGAGAAAGAGGCCGATGCCCGGAGAATCAATCTTCGAAATCTTAGACGGAAAGTAAGCCGCGTCATCCGCATGCGTCTTGACTTAAAGGGGAGCGCGAATGCGCGTGGGAGTATGTCGACGGCCGCCAATATAACGCGACTTCATTAGCCATTCAGACTGTGTCTTTAGCTGATGTTGCGTACCCTAACAATTTTTACAGTCTTCAGTCTTTTCTCCCTTTCTTTTTACATTTTTCAAGAAGGCGAAGGCTAATCCGGTAAATTTACGAGTGACAGGGATCCGCGTGATATTCGAGTTGGATCGTGTGGTAGCGATTTTTTATCCCTTCTATGGAAGATGAGAGTCCAGATGCTTTTTTTTTCTTTTTTTTTTTATAAAGTACGTTTTTTGAAGTATTATATTCACGAGCCCGACCATGTCAAAGTAGGTATTAAAATTTTTAATAATAATGCTTTGAAATGAGAAACTATTTAGAGGTAGTGAACATTGTTATTAAAACTCTTAATAAAGAGGCTTTTAAACTAATAAGTACAATTACGTTAACCACAGAGTTAAACAACTTATATTAAGTGAGCAACCACTTTTTTTCTACATCTTCATTTTACTACGGAAATAATTTTACATATCAAATTTTATTCAAATTTTATACACTTGAAAATAATTGGAAAATAAAATAGCATTAGATTATTTTTTCTCAACTTCTTTTGTATTGTACACAGAGCATATGATCATTAATATTAATTTTCCTCTATTTAATGGATATGCAAAGTTTAAATCTATTTCTTTAGTCCGTAATTAATACTAATTATTTCATACGACTTTTTGTTAAAGTAGATAGAATTAAAATTCTGTTAGCTTATGTTAAATAGGTTAAAAAAAAAATTGATTTGTATTTAAAGAAAATCAATGACTGATAAACATCATTCAATTGCCAATTCAATACAAATAACAGTATAAAAAGTTAAATATATAAAGAAAATAATATGAGGCTGTCTTATATTTCCTAAAGAAGAATCAATGAATGATTGAATAACATTATATAAACAATATATGTATAGCATAAACAAATTTTTTTTATATAATAAATTATTTCAGGTTATAATTATTTTCAAGTAGTATATTCAAAATAAGGAGATACGTTAAATTATATATACATATATATATATATATATATATATATATATATCAACAAATAATACTAAAACTATTTAGTGATAATAAGTGGAACGCATTAAATAATTATTAATTACGATTAACCCATAAAAATAAACTTAGAAATATTGAAATTAATCGTTCATTTGAAATGATTAATATGAAATTAATAAAGTTTTACTCAAAAAAGTAACTAAAGCTTAAATCATTTCGAGATTTAAAGAAAAAAATAATTGTAAGATAAAAGCAATTTCAAATTCTTCATACTAATTAAACGTACCATATTTATAATAATATAATTATTATAAAAACGAAAGACTATTTTAAAATCTTTTAAAAATTGTGAATAAATGCATATTGAAATAATGAATAATGTGGGAATTAAGTGATTATAAAAACATAGTTTCATTGTTGAAGTTGCTAATTAAAATTATTTAAGTAGTAGTGACTTATTTCACGTCATCCAGTAAATTCAAACAATTATTATCTTTTTTTTGTTTTGTATTGATCTGTTTTAGAGCTTCATAACCTATTTTTATTCACTTCTTTTACTGATAATAAAATTAAAAAACCTAGATTAATCGTGGTTTAATTATCCAATAATAAAAATAATTGGAACAACTTGTATTTAAAATCATCACTGCAGTTAGTCGACAAAATCGATGTTTCGTTTTTTTTTTTTATCAAAAGTCATGGTTCCCATAGAGATTAAAATATTCAAACAAACAAAAAAGTTCTTAAGTTCCTCAAAGTGTAATTTCAGGTATTATATCAATTTTAAATCTGGAAAGCGTAAAATAAGTCTTGGTAATAGCAGAGAAATTTAAAACGCGTCGTCTCAAAATTGCATTTTTGTATTTTTTCCATATTCTTAGACATGATTGTATAAAAAACTATTTAACGCATTGACTTAAATTAAAATTGATTCTAAAACATCTTAAAGAGTGGTTCAACATAGAAGAAGAAATTCATAAAATGTTTAAAAAATAATTTCTATCGCATGAGGTATTTGAAATGCTTCCATCAATATTGTAACTTTCTTTTTTAATTCAATATTATTATAATTTTATAACGTATGGCTTGTCAATTGCCACGAGAAATTTATTAGACCAAAATAATTAAAAATTTTTTTTCGATTTTTTCATGGTGAAGGGCTTGACTGAAATCGGTTTGACTGAAAATTTAAATATATTGGAATATCACTGCGCTGTATTCAAAAACTCCAAACTTTATCATTTTGTACAAATTTTGTACAAAATTTTTTTTTTCTTTACTTCTTTAAATATTTACATGCCTTTATCAAACTTAAACTTCAACACAATTTTTTAGCTTCAATTTCTTCAATCTTACTATTATAATATGTTTTTACATTAAAATGAATTATGGTTTAAAAATTTTAAGTACTAATATATAATGGAGAAAATATAATAAATATATATCGATTTGATCAAATCAATCTTAGTTTAAACATAAGAAAATTATATACTATTTATGTATAAATTAGAATTTATTTTAGAAGAGATCAATGAATAGAGATTTGAAAATTGAATAATTTGTGAAAGAAGAAGGTGAATTTGTGGAAGATTTATATCCAAAATTATAAAGGAACCATCATATGTACATCATAATTATGTTAGTAAAAAAGTTTGAATGCATGTTATATTCAAGATAGATTTCACTTTTATAATTAATATTAATATATTAATCATTAATTAAAAATGTATTATAAAATATATATTGGGAAAAATGTGTATTTACACCATACATACACACATCCACGTGTACGCATGAGCATGTACACATGTACACGTGTATTCTCATGTATACGTATATTTAAACGAAAATATATATTATTTTTCAATATATTATGCATAGATTATCGTAATTTGGTCTTTTTTTAGTACTGTCATGAAATTAAAATAGATATAAAAATCTTTCCCACTACTCATAATAAATGATGTATAACATAAAATCCTTAACTAAAACATAAAATTGTTCACACTTAATGAACATTTACTTTTACCACGAATAACATGTTAATTCAAGGTCCTTATTATCGTTCAGTACAACTGTAATTATACCGTTGCAGGTAATTCAATAATAATATCCATAATAATAATAATAATAATATAAACAGTATATATTTTTTCTGCCAGTTAGAATTTACTTATAAATTTATATTTCTCTTGCAACCGTGATTTCAAAGCATTTAGTTTATCAATAAATGACTAATACCCCAAATTGCCGAATCGTATAATTTATAATTATAACAATAATTTATAAATAAAATGAATTCGCGTAGTTGAGCCAAAAATTCATTGGACTCTTATATTCTGATTATGTGGATGCAGTGGTGTAAAACTTGTGGCCACTGGGATTCGGGTGAAGGGCGCGGAAAGTAGCGGAGATGCCAAAGAGCGGAATCTCGAGAGTCCGAGAAAGGAAGGAAAGTGAGAAAAAGAAAGATGAATGCATTAAAAGCGGAATTCGTGCAGTGTAGTTAAGCAGCACAGCAGCCCTTTAAATTTCGAGAGGTCAGAGTGAACGTGGAACAGTCGGTGCGCGTTCTATGGGCTTCCAAACTTTAAATACGGGTTGGGAAAATTTCAAGATGGCCCTAGCATGAGATGGTGCAAAATTATCTTTATCTTTTAAAAGAAGTCCTGTAAATTCTATTATGATATGTGTGGATTTATTTGCTTCTTGCAAAATACGCTATTCATTTAATTGTAGCTAACTACGAGGGTTTAACGAGGACATTTACAAAACAAGATATCACATATAGAGGAAGTTGACTGGGATCTTTCAGCTCTAATTAAATACTTAAGAATATAATTATAATTTTAAGCTTATAATTTTTTTTTTTTTTTGATTTTTTTTTTTTTTAGGAATTTATTTACTTTATTTATTAATTAGGATTGCAGTCGTCATGTCAGAATTGACTTGCATGTAAAATCGGTTAAATTTATCAATTAACATGTACGACTATATTAATTTCAAATAGATGATTTATGAATATACAATTTAATCTTGTTGAAAATTTGATGGAAAAGTAATTAATTATTATTGACTAATAATAATAATATTATTGCCATTATGATTATTGTTATTATGATTATTGTTATTAAATTTACAGCTATTGTTAGATAATTAAGCGGTTCATTAATTTGTCATGTGTTTGATTTTTAAAAAAATCCTCAAAATTTTAAATATACGCATTTGACAGATGAAAATATTGTTTATATCCATTGATTTTTCAAATTATTAGTCAACTATTAGTATTTTAAACTACTAAATTTTATCATAACAATTTGATGAATAATTTATATAAATAAATGAAAAGCTTCGAATTGTTATCATCGCTGATATTACTAACCACGTCGCGGATCTGCCCTTAACACATAATGAAATGACGAAAAAGCAATATTTTAAAATAAATGATAGCCTGCAAGATATTTTTAAAATCTGATAATTTTGTAAAAGATTTTATTCTCCTTTTCACCGTAGCCCTATCTCTGCCTCTTTTCTCTCACAGTTACAATTCCTGGAATTCACATTTAATATTATCGATGGCTTTTATTCTTTTATGGGATACAACAAGAAGCAGACCAATACACGTTGCAATAAATATAAAGAAATTTTTCAGTTAACTCGAATGGTATGACATATAAATAATAGCGCGTGTTGCTTCAGTGCTTATGTTATTTTGAAGTGAATTAAACGTTGGTGGAAATCGCTTTAATGGAAGTTAAATAGAAGGTATGCAATCTGCATAATATATTAGGTTTCATAACTGTCTTTTATTATCTCTTTTACATTGCCTCTCTTTCTCTCTCTCTCTCTCTCTCTCTCTCTCTC